GAATATTACTCAGCCATAAAAAAGAATGAAATCTTTCCATTTGCAACAGCATGGATGAACCTAGAGGGCATTGTGATAAGTGAAATAAGTCAGACAGAGAAAGACAAATATCATATGGTCTCACTTATATGTGTAATCTAAAGAAGAAAATAAACAAAGCTAAAATAGACTCTTAGACACAGCCAGCAGACTGGTGATTGCCAGAGGGGATTAAAGACTTACTAGTATAAATGTAAGTCATGAAGCCATAAAAATCCTAGAAGAAATTATAGGCAGTAAAATCTCAGACATTATTATAGCAATTTTTTTTCAGACATATCTCATGAGGCAAGGGGAAAAAAACAAAAAATAAACAAATGGGACTACACCAAACTAAAAAGCTTTTTGCATAGCAAAGGAAATCATCAACAAAATGAAAAGACAACCCACTAAATGGAAGAACATATTTTCCAATGATACATCTGATCAGAGGTCAATTTCCAAAATTTATAAAGAACTTACACAACTCAAAACTAAATAAATAAATCACAATTAAATAATGGCCAAAGGATCTGAGTAGACACTTCTCTGAAGAGGACATACAGATGGCCAACAGTCATATAAAAATATGCTCAGCATCACTAATCATCGGAGAAATGCAAATTAAAACCTCATGCCTGTCAGGATAACTATCATCCATAAATCAACAAACAAGTGTTGGGAGGATGTGGAGAAAAGGGACCCCTCCTGCACTGTTGGTAGGAATGCAGACTGGTGCAGCCATTATGGAAAACAGTATGGGGTTTCTTCAATTAATTTTTTATTTTTAATGGAACTGCCTTTTGACCCTGTGATCCCACTTCTAGGAATATATCAGAAGAAACCTGAAACACTAATTCTAAAGAATATATGCACCCCTGTGTTCATTGTCGTGTTACAATGGCCAAGATTTGGAAGCAGCCCAAGTGCCCAGCAGTAGATGAGTAGCTAAAAAGGCTGTGGTACATTTACACAGTGGAATACCACTCAGCTGTAAAAAAGAAGGAAATCTAACCTTTTGCAACAGCATGGATGGTCCTGGAGAGTATTTTGCTAAATGAAGTAAGTGTTCAGATAAAGACAAATATCATATGACTTCACTTATATGTGGAATCTAATTAACAAAATAAGTTAACAAACAAAATAGAAACAGACTCATAGATACATAGAACAGACTGACAGCTATCAGAGGGGAGAGAGGTTGGGGCACTGGGTGAAAAGGTGAAGGGATTAAGACATAGGCAACAGTATGGTGATTGCCAGAAGGAAAGGGGGCTGGAGGAGGTAGAAGAGGGCAAAGGGGGAATAAATAGTGGTATCCATATGTTAAAATTCATAGAACTGTACACCAAAAGAGTCAACTTAACTGGATATAATTTTTAAATAATAAATTAATAAAAGTAAAAAATACCTTAGAGTTAAGACAATCTGCTATATAATTTACAGATTGATTTTTCAAGAATTGGTTTACATAAATAAATACCAGTAAAAGCTGCCCTAGCTAGTTTGGCTCGGTAGATAGAGCGTCAGTCTGCAGACCAAAGGGTTTCGGGTTGGATTCTGGTCAAGGGCACATACCTCAGTTGGGTTGTAGGCTCCTCCCCGGCCCCGGCCCTGGCCCTTGTCAGGGCACATGCAGGAGGCAACTTATAATAAATAAGATTTTCTTAAATATTTTGATAGTGCTCTCTAGAACTATTGTTTTAATCTTAGAAGTCAAGATACTGGCTGTCTAATTCCTTACAATTACACCATTTTTATTCCCCATGAATTCCCTACAAAACCAATGGCACAGAATGAGAAGTCCAGACATCTTATTCCAGAACTTTTTGTTTCTCTCAAATGGAAGTTTTTGTACAGCCACAGACTAACATGGGTCAATTTAGTGTTATGCACAGAGCCAAAATATTTTTCCATATTGGTTGTGTCATCTACTTTCCTTTAGCTATGTTGGTATGTTTCTAAATCTTCTCATATTGCTCCAGAAATAAAGATTTCACCTTCAGATTGGGGCTGAGGTGAGGAAGGTGGAGTAGAAAAGAGACTTAGAAAAAGAGACTTAGGAAAGGAAGTAGAAAAGAGACTTAGGAAAAGGGGTCTTTTTGCCTCAGACATGTGCCCCAGCTTAGTTTATTTAATCAGTATTTAGGAATATATCATACTTTTAGAGAAATTAATATATTTATACTTTATTCCTCACTTAACTCTTATTAGTTTTGTATCATTCCTTTACAGGAAAGAAGAAATGAGTGATAGGCTCCCAGTAATTGAATCCTTAAATGATTAGTATTCATGACCCTTCACCATTAAGGTTTTTACAAATTGGTGTGCACAAAATTAAAACCCTCTAAAATTACAAAATCTATGAATGATATAAGAAGGGGGAAAGTGTAGAACTGAATTGTCTGCCCTGTGCAAACTGAGAAACCACACAAAGATTCTGCCCAGCTTAAGCCCTGCAGTACAGTGTGTAAACTAACCTAAACAAGAGAATGTAAGAATATGTCATGTCACATGATAAGAGTGAATTCTAGCTAGAATTATATAAAGTCCTATTCCATTCCATCCTCATTCCATTGTGCTTCTGAGCTGAAATTTGCTCCATGGATCTCTGTCACTTTTTATTTTTGCCTTTAATGTAAGCAAAAAGGCAGCAGAACCATTCAAAGGATGAACAATCCGTGAGGCAAGACCAGAACTAGACCTATTCCACTTTGCTAAAATTCAAAAAGCTACACTGGGTTTTGAAGTGCACAGTATCCGTTGACTCAGTTTTATAAACAGCTCATTGTTAATTTACCGTTTTATTCAGCTTGGATTATCAAACACATTTCATGACTTTTGGAGTGATCACTACATATTCCCTTCCTTGGCATTAGGCTGGCTTGGAGAAAGAGGTGGGGGTATTTCCCTTGTCTAGTACAAAACAACTGGATCCCCAGATATTGAGGTGGTAATGCTGAAAAGCTGGCAGAGTTCAAAAACAATTCATTGTTCGGATTTTCTTTCAGAACAATATCACTAAATGAGTTAGAAGACATATGATCAGATGAGAAAATAAGTTGACATTTATATCACCCCTTTCCTAATGCCCCCAAATGCTTGTGATTTTTCAAGAGAAACTCAATAATGAAGTAATTACTCAAAAAAGTGTTTCACATATCTTATCCAGGTCAATTTATGCCATCTCTGACAGTTATGAATAACTTATACTTTCTCCATAGGGGGGAAAAAAACTAATACAAAACTTAAAGAAAAATGGAAAAGCAAAGCCCAATCCAAATAGTGGGCTACTTTTAAGCCAAATCAATCAACTCCAGAAATTTCCCACTGCTTATTACACAATCCTTCACCCACAATGCTTTTAGAAAATGCCAAGTTAGAATCATTCAATAACCCTAACTCTGGACAACACCAGCCCATCCCCCACCTTGGAAATGGAAGGATACTTCCCCTTGGCTACATCTGACCTTGAACCAAAAAGCAGCTATCCCTGGGTCTGGTGAGACATTTTTTTCAGGAAGATAGGCTTTGAGGTATAGGAATCTGAGGTCAGAAAATACCAGCTGAGGCTGGCAAAACTATCTGGAATCAGCCTCCCTGAGGGTAGTAAAATAGGGGTGATATTGTTTACTTCAGAGGGTAATATAAAGATCAAATGAGTTAAGGGCATGAAAGTGCTTTATGAAGTGTTAAATAATTTACATATGTATCAAAGAGCTGTTGTTTTCCAGCTTCACAGAACCTGGGTTGATTGAATGTCCTTCACTAAGCAGAACACTTTCTTCCCAGTGCACTGGGGGGGGGGGGGGGGGGGGGCGCTCATGGGCTTTTCTCTAAGTCATTTGTTCTTCTGAGTCACAGATGTGGTGAGTATCAAAACTGACAGAAACGCATCCCTGCCTTCCCAGCTAACATCCTAATTTGTGGGGGAGGGATTGCAACTTCCTCTGCTCAGTTTTCCTAAGGAATTTTTTGAAGCCCAGACTCAATTCTTCCCTTTTAAAAATACCTTTCCTCCCCAGATCTCTGAGGTCCATGGCCACAGCAAATGCAAACCAACCTTTCAGATTAAACTATGACACAGTTAAAGAGTTCCAGGCCCCTCTAATCTTTCCCCTACTCCCCCTTTTTCCCCAGCAATCTTTAATGAAGTGGAGGCTGGAATTTAAGAAGGTGGGGGTGGGGGGAGACTTTGTATCTACCCCTAGAGAGGCCTTCGTATGTTAATAAGGGCCAAGCTTTCCCTAACTCCTCCTGACCTCATCTGAAACACACATCCACGACTTCATACACACATGCACATGCTGGTAAGCCAGCCCAAAGCAGACAAATCTGACTTCCCCAACTTGTAGCCACAAATAGCAGCAAAGAGACCAAAGTCTTTCACCGCCAGCTTCCAAAAGACACTGCAACGGCCCGCGACGCCGCAATAGCAGCCTCTGTGCTGCAGCCTTCCGCTGGCCAGAGTTTCAGGGCTAATTCTTTACCGAGCATCGCTCTTCTGCCCTGCGCCCCACTCCCCTGTGCTTCACCCACTTCTCTCCTCGGGAGGTCAGGAGGAACCGGGTCACTTTGCACTTCTATGGAGAGGGAAGTTCAGTGAAGGAGATTCCCACCGAAGTAGCCCGAAGCCCACTACTCTTTGCCCCCGGTCTCCACCCTCCTGCCCACGCAGGCGCCTGTGGGGCGGACGAAGGTGCCAGTTCTCAAGGTGCCTGAGCTCGCATGGGATGTGCAGGAGCTAAGCAGGAAGAACAGCGACGGGACGATGGCTGGAGATAGTTAGAGGATAAATGGAGCAGGACTGGGGAGAGGGACGAAGACTCCGCACAGGGGCACTCTCTCGCCCCTCTCTCACAGACTGTAACTCCGAAACACGCAGATGGGCATTAAGGTAAAGGCCTTCCCTCCCTACTCTCTCCCTTCGCTTCCCCACTCCCCGCCTGGACACCTAGTGGAAAAGCAAGGTGCGGGTGTACCTGGAGCGAACACCATGATTTCCTCCAGCCGTTACGCCCCTAGGTAAAGAGAGAGACAGGAAGGCCAGGACTTGGAGGGGTCCGGTGCAGGGCGCGGACCGGCTGCGGGCCGGGGCGATCAGCACCTCGGACAGCTCCCCGTCGCGCGATCCCGGGCTGCAGCTCCAGCGGCTGCGGTGCGCTCAGCCTCCACAATGCACTGCTCCGCCAGCGGCCACAGCCGCGGCGGTAGGAGGAGACGGAATCCCTGCTCAGTTCATCCCTCATTCCTGTGCCAGCTCAGCATACGTAGCTGTTTAGAGAGCAAAGCACTCCTACAGCTTCTACGGGAGAAGGACCGAAGAGGAAGAGAGAAAAAGGTAATTGCCCGGCTTCCCGGCAGGGGTCAGCTAATTGCTTCTATTACCTGCTGTCACTAGTCCCGGTGGATATAGGACTGACATTTAGAATGGGTTTGTCCTTTCTTTTTCTTTCTTTGTTGTTTTTTTTAACGCAAAAGCTTTACTCTTGAGGCGGCTGACTGAGTTCTTCGAGTTGGGCTGGCTCTGAACAGAGGGGTGGGGCCGCCAAGTTAATCAGTCTTGGGCCCAGAGTCCCAGTCTTGTGCTACTATAAAAAGACAGCAGGAGGGAAGGACAGGGTGACCATGAAGGCATGAGAAGGGCGTCGCTATCAGGCCCTGCTCCCAGGCAGCCGATCTGGCTCTAAAAGCTCCTAGGCTTGGAGACCCTCAAGGTCATCACTTTAGAGAAAGCAGGGCCCCACAAGGAATTGGAAAGAGACCTCGTGAGGCTGGTCTCCACGGACAAACTCACACAATCTACGAAAGGATGAGTCAAGAGTCCCTTTCAAGTGTGGACAAGGAATTGGAAAGAGACCTCGTGAGGCTGGTCTCCTCCACGGACAAACTCACACATCCTACGAAAGCATGAGTCAAGAGTCCCTTTCAAGTGTGAAAACAGCCCTGAAACCCATCAAGAAGCATTACTGCTTCCCCTGCCTTTACCCAACTGAAAACTATGCCCCCCCGCCCCATGTATACACCCAGTTCTACTCTAAGATACTGGGACATAACACCGCACTCCATGCTTCTAATCCTTGCTCATTTTAAAGCACTATCTAGTTCCCCCAAGAAATGCCTGTAATATCGGCCAAGCTAGATATTACCCAGCTTGAAACAAGTCCATCTGGGTTATAACCTCAGTGCTAAAAGTGATACAGGATCCTCCAGCCTCAAAGCAGATGTCAGTTGCTTTGGGTTTAATCCTCTATCTTCGCAGTTGAATGGAGTTTTACAAGAACAAAGGGTGATCAGAGTCATCTCCAGTGTTTTATAGGGTTTCTTCACTTGTACTTCTCCCTGGAAAATAGAGCTATTCTGAAAATACAGTATTTCTTAATAATTTGATTGGTGGCCATGAGCTCAACACTCTTTTGGAAAATATAAAGCATTCAAATAGCCTTATTGGGACTGGTTTTGTTCCAAGCCATCTGATAGATTGAAATGGCAAATAGTTTTACAGCTCTTGAACCACAGTTTGCCTGGAGGCATATGAACAGCCTCAACATAACATAATCAGTACTGCTCTTAGCACCTGGCTCAACACAGGCTTGAACAGATGGGACCTGCCTCAGCAGCAACAAGATGCAAGTCAATTGATGGACAGATGAAGTGTGGGCATAACAAGATGCAGTCTGCTCATTTTCCCAAGTTATACCAAAAGCCAGGGACAAATGATGCTTATCACCATAAGTGTGAAACACTATTTGAAATAATCTTTGAATGAATGAAAGACCTCCTTCTTTTAACACACTCAATAGGGCTCTCCTTTACAATGTATTTTGTAATGAGCTTTATTTTCCTAATGTATAAACAATCACTCATGATTAAGCTCAAGAAAAAAGCAATAGAGTGTAGGGAAAGAAAAAATACTTGGAAACCAGTCACACTCAGGTATAACTTCTTCACCATGTACTAGTTGTATGTTCTTAGATAAATTACTTCCCTGTCTCACCTGCAATATAAGGATGAATGTATCTCCAAGGTTTGTTATTGCGATTAAATGTAATAATGGATTAATTAAGAGATACACAACCTTAATTAAACTCATTCCAGGAAATTACTGATACCCTGGGAATAGATGACACCCTATAAGAATATGGTAGAGCAATACTTTCAAACATTAATGTGCATGTGACTCCCACTGGAGATTTTGTTAAAATGCAGATTATGGTTCAGTAGAGCAGGGTGGGGCCTGAGATTCTGCATTTCTAACCAGTTCCCAGGTGATGTCCATGCTGCAGTTGCTGCTTGTTCACAGACTATATTTTGAGGAGCAAGGTATTAGATGTATCAGCATTTAAAAAGAAATAAATTACTTACATCTCCTTCAACCTCAGAGTGCATCTTTCTGTGATATTAGAAAGGAATCCAGATGGATTCCCATAGAATTCCAAGCTAGACAGAGGCCTAGATAATATTAGAAGGGAGGAAAAATATGCCTAAAAATGGTCCCAGAGCTCCTTTGATTAGCCTACTATGCAATAGAAGGTAATATGAACTAGTAAAACAAGTTCAACAGGTCAAGGACAGAAAAGAAAACTGTCTGTAAGGCCCATCCTCACTTCTTCTCTGACCTTCCATCATCACTTCCTCCCATCATCTCTTCATTTGCTCTACCCAACACACCACTGCTACTCAGCCAAAGGACAGTAACTTCTTAACTCAGCTTTTGCTTATTTATATTTTAGTAAGAACAATTAATTTTACTCCCAATAAAATCAAGGCACATTAATGATTTTTTAATTTACAGATATTATATCAGTAAATATTATATTCAACAATATTATCTCTTAATTTTTACTACTACTGGAGTCATTATCCTGTTGGTCTAGTAATGCTAGTAAATTGTTATATCTTAATGTAAATGATCAATTTAATAATAGAATGCTTCATAGGAAAATAAAAATTCCCTTTTATTCTACCATATAATCCAGATTCTTTGATATATCATTTATTCAGTCTTAGCCCACAATGGAGGCTTAAGTTCCCAATGTAGACTCACTGTCTCTGTTTAAACACCTTCACTCAAGGCAACTCACTCTCTATTCAAGCCATTGCATTTTGAGATAGCCATCTATCAGAGAGGCAGCCACGGTCGCTGCTGCTGCCGCCACCATCACCACCACCACCACCACCACCAACCTCATTCTAGCACCATCATTCCTAGGCAATGATGGAAATAGTGATAGAAAGCAAGATGGTAAACAAGTTGAACTAGGTGCCCCAACCTTCCTACTCTTGTGCTGAACTTATCAAACTAGGCATTCCTATCCCTACTGACACCTGAACAAGATGAAACTGGAAAACAC